CAACATGCCAAATTAAAAGTGCACCACATTAAATCTGAAACACCTATAAAACAAGCCCTGATGAAATACAGACAGTCTTCCATCTAACTCCTCCATATGGCTCAAGCAAAGTCAACTTTTAATTTCATAACACAAAATATTTAATTTATGCTTTTCTTCATATGTCAATTTAACCTCTGGCACATAGCTTTGAAACCATATAAGGATGCCTAACACTTTCCATATGGCAACTGAATTGTGGCTTTTAATTGCACCAACTGGTATCATTCAAGGATAATTCCCTTGGAATCCAGCTTTCTGCTACAGTATTGGCCAATTCACTAATCTCATCACCATGGCACTAATACTTTCAGAGACTCTTTGATTGTTAATATTCATATTATAATTTTCCCAAACCAGAGCTGTCAAGATATACTATGTACACCACTAATTAAATTATCTTGGTTTGTTGGCACCAAATTTCAACACTAAATAAGATTTTGCTTTTCTCTCTCTCAATACAAAGTTTGGTAATTTTATTTTAAATGCCAGAGACAATATTTCTGTGCACTAAAATACTTTCTAGTTATACCAATATTGAGAACTGCTGAGTCTGTTGTTTATTTTAATCTTCAGAATCAATAAAAATAATTATTTATATAGTACTGACATTAATGGACTTGAAAATATTTCAGTTAGAAAGATCACTTCAAGCAATCACACAAGATAACATCCAAGGAAACTTTCGTTGCTCTTGTCACCATACCAGTAAGAAGGCAGTCTTTCAACTATCACTTTACCCATGAAATGATCCCAAAGTAGTGCTACAATTAAATCTTGCATTTCAACAGCCTTTAAGCCATACTATGTACATAACATTAAAAAAGTCTCATTTCTGTTTATTATTTTCATTTTGGATTAATGACCTATCCAGCTGTGTCTTCTGTAAGGTGATGTATTTTTAATATGCACACAAACACACACTATTTAACAGTGGGGGACTGGGAAGGGCTTCTTTTTTAATTTAAGATTGATCATACTAGAGGAGCAGTGAAGTTGACACTGGTGTTGTCTCCTCTCAGCCATGCAAGGAATGCCCATTAATGTCACTGGCAGTTACAGGCACAGAACAAATGGAGAACAAGCCCCACCTCTGAAGGACTGATGCGCCTCAGAATTTCATACTGTGTTAGTCCCAAACCAGACACTCAACTCTAATTAATATCAATTAGGGTTGAACATGAGGAGCACTAGTGCCAAGGAGTTCAGTGGAAGTGGGAAGCTAAAGTCATTTCTATTTTACCTAAAATGATTACCTACAATATGGCTGAGAGTTGATTTGAAATGTAATTAAAAATAGGGTATTTTTTCCATTCCCAAGCACAGATGTCAATGAGACGCACAAGAATCTAGTAAAATTTCTTATGGCTTTGAAGATAAAAGTAAATGGAACTAAGAAAAAGTCATATTTAATATTCCCCCCTCTAGCATAGAGCCATTTCTCAGTTAAATAAATAAATACATGAATATTTGCAAACAATGTTGATTTCCAAAAATAGTTTGTAAAAGTAAACACACTGAATAAATGTAAGCTTAAGAATTATACAGGATGATCCACAGCATCAGAAAAACCTTTCTGGATACAAGTTAACTCATTCATAAAGCAGCAAAAGAAGTGTATTCAGTTGCTAGCAGATTTACAGCCTCAGTGGTTTCAATTAGCTTTGAAACCAGAAGATGACTCTGGACCCCATACTTTTCTCTTTAATCCCTGACGATGTGGAAGCTGCAGGCCAGCCCCGGCCTGCAGAGTCATTAAAACCCTTAGAGCAGAGCAGCCCCTGCTGGGCGGGTGGCAATGGCTTATTGAGCTCAGAGCTCTCACCCAGCCGCTCGCTCGGGACACGCTCCCCTCGCCTGGCCCACGCCTCAGCCAGCCGTGCACCAGCAGAGCCCTCTCACAAGGCTTCTGGCAACAGCTGGACACTAATGACTGCTCTTTCAGTGAATTGGAGGGGAGAGACAGATGGACAGGATACGACAGGGAGGGAAGTCTTCTCTAATTCAGAAGCTCTCAAAGCTTCTGCTCAGAAGGAAAGGTGTCGTATATTGGAACTCTCCTTGAGTGAAGTGAAGATCTCCCCTCCACAATAATTGTAAATTAAATCATTCTAGAGAGGACTACAAACGAAACTTTACTTCTTTCCTGTATTAGTCACTCTTGTAAAACACTGGATGAATCCCCTGAACTTCAGTGTCATCTCCCCTGGATGACTAACTTTAGCAGAACAATTCACTGTCTGTTCTTGAGAGAAACAGCCTTCCAACTACAACCAAGACAGGATTTTTGGCTTGTAGACAGTAAAATAGTACACTTTGATTTATCTCATCCAAGTTTTCATTAAAATTATTCAAATTTTGAATTTTCAGTCTTGGGAGTTCTTCAGGCTAGGTGCTCTCCTCTCCCATCAACAGGTCTTTGGAAGTAAACTGAATTCCACCAAATAGGCCCTACATACTAACAAAACCATCATCAACAAAACTCTGATTAAGGCTTCCTACTAGGAAAATTATTTCTAGGACCATTTTTTTTTTAACACAGCTGTATGTTTCTGTGAATAAAAATATTTTCATCAGTGTTTGATCTAGTTCTTTCTGCCATAAGTCACAAACACAGTAACCTGGGATCTATTTTGGGGTGAAAAAAACCTACGTTTTACTGAGAAGTCACAGTTTCAGTTGTGACACAATAAAACTGTACCATTCCACAGAGCCTTGTAAGTCTATTGAAAATTTTATTATGAATTGTGAAGCAGTAAGGAGATGGTTCAAGTGCAATAAGGTAAATTCAAGTGCAACACTAGCACACTATTGGGGACTACAGCACTGTCCCACACAACCCCGTGACTAACCCTTAGCAGAAGAAACTACTATTTCTGCATCTTGACGAGACCAAAGAACCAAAAGGTTAGGCTACAATTCCCTTTGTATCTTGGTATAATTATACAAGAGATCAAAGAGATCTCCAAAGAGAAGCAGCCATGCAGTCTCAGTTATGGAGTCAATAGCTGTGACTCCGTAATCCTTGTCAAAATGACTGTACATATGGCACATCTGGTTCCAATGTAGGGTTAGAAATGCATCCTGCCATATTCCAAAAGTTCATATTTTAAAGGAACTTTAATGTAGCTGTCACAGTGTGCCTGTGACAGCATGACAATTAAACTAAATCAACAAGCAGGCTATACATGCTCACAGATACTACCAAATACATTAGGCAATAAATGGCAAATATTTTTGAACATTCAGAAACATCTCTATAAGGATGACAGTAAAAGGCCTCATGGGAACAGTGCTTTTAAATACATTTAAACCTATTTACAGTTTTATAATGTACTAAAACTGTAGACTAATATTTAGCTAATGGCTTGCTAATTGCTGAGCCATCAAGAGGAGGACTTTCTCTCCAGCAAGAGGGGAAATACTGTTCTACTGTCATTCCAGCTGAGCAGACCTCAAACTGCCAACTGAAGAGGGCTGTGAATAGAAAGGACCTTGGACAAAAGATACTTTCTTCTTTTCAGAAAGCAAATCATCTTTGTGGAAGAAAATACATTTCACAAACTAAAGTCGGAGTTTTCACCTTTAACTCTTGTATATTAAATCAGTGTTTAGTTTGGTGAGTTGAGCTTCTTTTCTAGAAAACATACACGTGAAAGGTAGAACATATGTAAAAACTATGACTTACAAAAACTGGGATAATTAGAAAATAATTAAAAACAGGTGTTACTCATTGCATCTGTATCATAGTACATACTATTGTTAATGAGAACTTCTTTCTTTAAACATATTGTTTACTAGTAAAGCACAATAAATATCACTTCAACCAATCATGCCTGCAAGTTGAAGGTGATTATGTTCATCAGTTACAACAAATCAGTATCCCCCTTTGTCTTTACTTCTAGTGACTCTCACACAATTTATGCTCCTCAAAATACAATACTGGTGGAATCTAAGATGTCACCATTAGCTTTCCCCATACTACAGTTCTTCTACTCACTTACACACCCCACCTAAAATGAAGCATTCTCGACTTGCAAGTGAATTTTTCCTGAGACACAAGAAGTCCAGGCTTCTGACAATACAACTGGTAGCTAACAAAGCAAAGAGCCTGCAGGAGGTTTGGTGGCCCTGGCTCTGCTTGTGCTTTCAAAGCCACACTGCTTGCTGGGAAGCACAGATTCCAATCTCCCCATCTCTCAGGTTACCTTTCCAGTGATGAAACTTTCAGGGCTTGATCCAAAGTCAATGGGAGTCTTTCAGTAAACATCAATAAGCTCTGGATCACACCCTGAAACACTATGAGGACCATATCTAAGTAATGTTAAGTCTGTTTACCTCCCATCATGCCTCTTTGTTTAAAGAGACAACATTAAAAATAAATAAAACGGCAACTGAAACGTTCCCTCCAGCCCAGCTTCCCATGGAGGACTGAAGGGAGGAGAAGGGGTGGAAAGTGACCAGTGAAACAGCCAGGACAAGCAACTGGCACAGTAACTCTGGTGGATAAAGTCAGCCTCACGCTATTAGCAAAGAGCAAATAAATAACAATAACTCTTCGGGGACTTCTCCTTTGACTGCCAAAATGTCACAGGCAAACTTGTGCACTAATCAGGGCTCACGAGCTATCGCTCACTGGCTGGGTGCTGGGCTTTCCCCAGAGACTGTTTGTTCCTGTTTGTGAAAGGTTTTGTTCTAATCGTACTGCCCAGACACCAGCAGTCAGGTTCCCTTACTCCTCTGGCTTTTGTACCCTCACCAAGTTTGCTCTGCAGCTTCTAACTTCATCAAAGGACTGAAGGAAACCACCCACGGGGCAGCGCCTCGGAGCAACATTAGGGCAAAGAAAACCTTCCTTTGCACAACCGCCCCTTGGGAGGCAAAGAGGGATGTAGAAAGAGCTTTTGCTTTTCACTATTTCAAAGGGAAGGGGCGGGGGGGCAGCGAGGAAGCTGACATACCCTGGCGCTGGAGAGCCTGCACACGGCGCGGTGCTGGCAGCCGTGCTGGAGTCCCGAGCTGCTGCCGCCGCTGCTGCTGCCCCCGGAGTATTTCTGCTTCACCATCCAGTCCTCCAGCCCTCTGCGAGCCAGAGAGGCGTTCACCGCAAAACTATCACCTAGAAAAGAGGAGACAATACCGCCGCTAAGCCGCCCGCAGAGCCCGCCCGACCCCCGCGGCCATCCCCGCGCCCGGCCGGGACTGGAGCCGGGACTAGCACCGGGGCTGGAGCCGGGACTGGGACTGGCACCGGGGCTGGAGCCGGGACTGGCACCGGGGCTGAGGCTGGAGCCGGGATTGGGGCTGGGGCTGGCACCGGGACTGGCACGGGGGCGGCCGCGCAGAGAGCAAAGCGCGGCGGAAAGTTGAGGGGAGAGGGCAGGGGGCCGGGGGCAGCCGGACCGGGGGAAGGCGTTCAAAGTTGCTAACAGTGAGGAGCCATCCCTACCTTCTGGACTTTCTCTGGGTTTACAAACGGCAGCTAGGCAGATCCGGAGCAAAGTGTGTGAGGGAAATAATAAAGGAAGATCGTTAGACACCAGAATAAAATCACAGCAACAAACCGAGTAAAATCCGAATAAAGGGAAGGGGCTAAGGAAGTAGCAAGTGAAAGGAACTAACCATGTTTCGAATGAAGTTTCCCCATCTCTCTGCATTGATCTGCAATTACGATTCATTTGACTGTTTTCAGTAGGGTCAGGTTCGCTTGTTGTTATTTTTTGTAGATATATAAAATCCCAGCGTGTTTAGAAATCCATGTGCTCCGCTTCTCCCTGCTAGCACACTAGCGAGCTCAAATCTCAGCTCCTCTCCTGCAGCACGGTCCGGCGTCCCCCTCTCCGCTCCAGCCTTCCTCCTCTCTCCTCTCTTTCCCAAAGACAGAGGCGGTTACAAAAGACCTTACTTCACCCACCGGGGAACATGATTGACACCTCATTGAGATTAGACCACTTGCAGGCAGCCTCCGCCTTCCCATTGGGCCGCGGCGGCAGATGAAAGGGGCGAGTGAGCCTTTTGGAGGCTCAAAAAGGAAAAAGGAGAAAAAAAAAAAAAAAAAAAAGACGAAGAAGAAGAAAAAAGAAAAAGGAGCAGCCGGGGCGCGTTTCACTTCCAGCCAGGCACGGGCGGCGGGGCCAGCCCCGCTCCGCGCAGCCCCAGGGGCGCCGGGCGGGGCCGCGTCCCCGCACGGGCCGCGGGGCCGGCTCCTGCCGCGGGCCGCGCCCGCCCCTCGGGGCTGCCCCGCGGTCCCGGCACCCCCGTACCCGGGCGCGCTGCTGAGCCCCTCCTGTCCCCGCTCCGCGCTATCTGGATCGCGGGGGAAGCCAGCGTGTCTGGAAAAGCAGTTGTTCTGCTGACTTAGTCGTGCAAATTGTTTTTCACGGGCATCCCTTCGCACACAAGTGGTCCTAATGAAGTCGCTGTTAATGCCAAAATGCAGTTCTCAGGGTCAGGTCCGGAACCCTTTCTCAGTGATTCAAAATGTTGGCAGCAGGAGGACAAAGTCTCTCTCAGCTTTTTTTCATTATTAGTTAAGTAGATGAGATGTACAAAGAATCTCCCCTACTTCTCCAAATTATGAATGGTGGTTTTTTTTACATATAGCATAAACTAAAAGGAAACTTGCTGTTTCATAAAGATAGTTCTCACAGTCATTAAAAATTTGCTTTCTTCCTCTGGCTGGTCATTATATTTCTGTTTATGAAAATCACATCTCCCTTGAGATCCTTGTAGTTCAACTTGGAGAGATAAAAGGGAGTCATAGTAGATTCAGAACAAGAAAAAATGAAGACTTCTGAGAATTTAACTCAAGAAACTACTAGTCAAACTATGTAGGGTTTGACCCAGATGGGCCTGGTCCAAAAAACTTCAAGGCCACATCTGTGCTTTCAAATCCATATGTTTCAAGCACAGGGAGGAAGGAGTTAGACTTGGGAGCTCATCTGAAAAAAAGATTCAAAGCATATGTAGTAACACTTCTGCAGGGAATTGGGACCGGGAGAGTAGGGTCAGGCTTGGAGCTCATTTTTAGAAGGAATTCCAAAGCACATGGATGTGGTGAAGGTCTGGTATGAAACAACTGCACAGCACAGCCAATGCAATGCCATTAAATGAACCGTTTCAACCCAAATTGTTCTTTGGATGATTGCAAAGTCATTTCTCACATTATTCCAACTATTTATCTGTCTAGCAAAGAAAGCCCTTGCATTGTGAAATGCAGCCATTGCAACAGCATCAATTGCTTGTCAAATAGCTAATAACATGCATATTTTGTGAATTTCTTTTTTATGCATTTTAATAATTTGTTTGGCCCAATTTTTATATTGTGTGTTTAAAGTGACATATTTGTTCATTTGAAAATTGTCTCTTGTTTTGGGGAGGTGAAAGAGGGGGAGAAAATAATTTAGATGAAGCAGGTTCATTGGGGCATGAGCCTCACTTCGACTGTGAAAACTTGTAAAAAATTTTCTGATCCATATGAAGAAATTCTAGATCCCAATACCTCAGGCTAGCATATACGAAGTACCCTTTAAAACTTCATCAGCAAATATTTTATTTGGAATATCACTTATCTTCACTGTTTATGAGAAATAGAGAACAGCTTAGCATAAGTGACCCCAAATGGGATGGTCTGTCCATTCATCTTGTGAGATGGTGCTCACGTTCAGCTCTTGGGAATAAAACAAGGCCTTAGAAATGTCTCAAGTTCAGCAGGTCTGCTGAAGTGGCCAGGGGAAGAAGCCCTGGCTTTCACAGCAGATTACAGAGGTCCACTTGTGTCGAGGAACTTGCATTCAGAACACAGCCACTCTTGTGCACAACTGCCGTCACATACGCAACATTTGTTAGAGTTTAAAGCAAGCCCTTTCTCATTACAGTGGATGACATACCCTGCAGAACCAAGGTCTTCACCAGAAAGCAAATCTGACAAAAGAGTCCCAAATGTCAGAAACTGACTCCATGTATAATGGGATTCATGACTGTTGCTTGGGCACAGGAGTAACACAGTGACAAGCTGGTGTCATTACTCTGGGTACGAATCACAACGGCAGCCAATTCTTCCTCCACCTGGAAGAAAGTTTTAGCTACTCTCAAAGTGACAAATCTTGTGATTATTAGCTCAGACATCAAATTCCACTTGATTTCAGGAGAATTTAGCATGGTGTAACAACTAAACAGGAACCTCAATATTTGACACAGTATATAATGATCCTCAAACTACAGGGACCTCACGGTATACAAAGATTTTTGGTTTTCCTTCCATGGGGCCAGAAGTACGTTAAGTAGTGACGTCTAGTAAAATATCAGAATAGAGTACACCATTCACAGAACAGTACTAATGATTAAAGGATCCCCAACCCAGTGACCTCAGTGGAATTCTCAAAATTAGAAAGTTATGACGTATTATTCAGTGCCCTTTCATTAGGGCTGACTACACTCTACTTCTTCAGAAGATGGAAAACCCTTTTGAACCTTGCTATGCTATAAAGCACTTGACGATATTAGATGCATCTTAGCTAAGGAACGAATGAATAAGACCATTCTAGGAATTCATTGTGAGTATTCAATAGCACAGCAAAATTAATGGCAATAGTTGCAATAGCAAGAGTTACCTGATAGATGAAAGCAGCACACTGATTTTCCTGTCTGGGTAGTGGTAAGATACTGCTTTCCAGTTCTTCTGCTTTATCTCCTTCCTTTTCTTCCCCTCTCCTGCCATGTTCCCTCCAGCTGGAGATGAAAGAAGGCTGGTATTGGTCTCCCACAGTCAGGTGGGTGCTGTTCTCTTCCACCTGAAAGTGGCATGCTGGTCATGCTACCCCACCTCCAGAATAAGTGACGGTTGATATGTGTTTTTTAAAGTTGAAAGCCCCATGTAATTCTTAAAAAAAAAAAAAAAGAAAAAGAAAAAAAAAGACACACAGAAGCAGTAAAGTGCAAACTGTGGTTCCTCCTCTGCATTAAACAATCTAAGTCCATATTGAACAGAAGTGTTTTAAGAAAATGTTGCTCGGTTGTGAAGGAAAAACATACATGAGCTCTAAGCAGTATTGACAGGGACAATAGATCATATGTAAGCTCTTAATATTTCCAGGATCCAGCCGATACAGAATTTTTAACCTCATCACTCTCAGAATCACAGATGGTCACAAACCACACTCAGCCTCCATTTCAACCACGTTCCAACCAAACCCCTTTTATTCCATCAACAAAGAATTTCCCACAGCAATGATACCTCTTCAACAGTTGCTTCAATCCCTACCCTGCTGATGCATTTAGGGCCACAAACACTTTTATGAACATTTAAATTTTGGTTTGGTGACCACATGAGTGCTCATTCCCAACACTTAAATGGGATGCCTGTCACAAGACACTGTTTTAGCTTTTGGGCCTTTGTCCTTGTACCTCTGGTCTTGGCAGCTTTTTCAGCACTTTTGCCTCAGGCATTTTTGCAATCAGGCATGTTAGCACCTCCTGGCTTTAGCAACGTTGCAGGCTTAGCTTATTGCCTCAAAGCTTTGGCATGAGTCTGCACTGTGGCATCCTTTCAACTCCAAACTTACTTGCTTCACAGGTTTTCCTTGGGTTTTTCTTGGATGTCAGCAGCTGCCCTGACCCTAGAGGGGGAAGAAAGACAGATCAGCAAGTTCAAACAGTGTCTATGCAGCGGAAAGATGTCTATCACAAATGAGCACATTCACTACATCACCTGCCAAACATTGCTCAGGTACCATGAGAAATTTTTCCAGACCTTCTTCAAGATTAGTCCTATAAATCTTCTGAGAGCCTGTGAAGATTGTCTGGAGAAAACCCTGGCAAACTTCATAGTCCCAGACTGTAAGACCACTGTGTCTCCATACTCCAGTGGATATAGTTTCCATGATTAAAGTATTTTCTCTTTCACTTCTCTTGAGAGCCAAGAAAACCCATCAGATAGAGATAGATGTTGAGTTTAAGAGCTAGTAGTTCAGGGTTACAAGTGACGATTCAGTAGATGAGCTGTTTTCCATAACCACCAGTAGATACCCAGTTGTCCTCTGTACTGCCCCCACTAAAATACTCCTTTTCAGGTGGTAGCACATATTCTTTCCATTGTATTCTGGAAAATGAGTTTTAGAAGTCTTAAAACAGAAGAATCCATGATGATAAGGTTCATGCCAGGTTAATCTTTGCTTTCTCAATCTATTACTCTGAAAGTCCTCATCAACAAGTGCCTTCAGTGAAGGCCCGAGTTTAGAAAAGCTTTGATTTGTGAATTCCTAATTGTCACCTGTTATGTCCTGCAAGTTCTCTCTCAAAGACCTTTGCATAGCTAACTCATTAATCCAGATTTCAGCTCACCAGAAAAGTGGAAAGGTGAAAAAATCAGTTGATGCTGCCTAAAGCTAGTGAGACTCCTTCTACATGTATCTCTCTATAGCTGAGGAAGCTGGGCCAGGGCTTTCCCAGCAATTTAGAGGCAATTGGCTTTTTCAGTATATTTTAGTGAGTATTGGACCTAGAATCTGTTTGCTTGGAATCTGATTGCAGATTCTCCAGAAGAAATTCAAAGATCATACAAAATTAGCAGGAATTTTTCTGTCATTGTTTCCCCAAGGAAAACGCTGTTCCTATCCAAATAAAATGAATTGCAGTTTATTTACTAATCAAAAACTATGGATGTTCTCCATAGAAGTGAATCCTGAGCTATTTTAAAGTGTGCTTTTCCTGAGTTTTCTTTTTTCAGTGGATATTTTGCTGAGATAAAATTTGCTAACAATTGTAACAATATGCAGAGAAAGAGGGGAAAAAACTTTTTTCCACATCATGTACTACACATAAAAAGAAAAAAAGCAAAGTAGAAAGTACTGCCATGACTTCAATAATCAGAATCTTTCCTTTAGCATCTAAGAAATGACAAGTAAGAAAGTTTTAATATAGGAGAGGATTTTTAT